AGATGACTAGCTTTAAAAGGGAACAGAGAATGTGCTCATCACCTGTAGGGAGAACTCCATGACAGCCTCAGTTATTCCTTAGAATTTCAACAAAATGAAGACTGGCTGAATTATTTTCAGTTCCTATTAATCAGAAGTGGGAGTGGACTTTATAAGTAGGTGGAAAGGGCGAATGCCTGAATGACATGTCTCTTTCCTGCTTTTAGGACAGGAGACCAATATACAAAGGAGTTGGAAGCTCAGGAGAAGTAGTTTACTTGGAAACTGTGATGCATGTTGTGTGTGTACGCACAACTAGTCCAAATTCTTTAAATAAGAAACTGGAGTTTAAGTATTCTACAATGATGCCATTGCATCTCGTATGTGAACTTCAAAGTAATTAATACCTTTTATGGAGATTAGTTTAGGGAATTCTAAAACCACTGCTATATAGCAAGTGTTAGAGAGCTAGGAATTATCAAAGAAGCTAACTTAAGGTAGAGAGAAAATGAAGTGGGCAGAGTATGTGGGAGAGAAAGGAAAACAAGAAGATAGGGATACTTTTATCAGCATTTCACTGGCAGCAGATCATGGTACATGAAGTCTTGTTTCCTAATCATCTAGTGAATGGGAGTTTCCTAGATGTGTATTGTTTCAGGCATCTCGGAATGTGAAGTGATAACTTTTTCAAACTCAAAGAGGGCGTGGATTCCATGTCACTGTGAAAGAAAGCAAGACTATTTAACACAACAGTGTAATAGTCTCGCTATTACATATAGCGAATGAAACAAAGAATCATAGAATCATCTGGTTGGAAGAGACCTTCAAGATTATCGAGTCCAACTATTCACCCTGCACTGTCAGGGTCCCTAAACCATGTTGCTCAACACCAAATCTACATGGTCTTTAAACACCTCCAGGGATGGGGACTCCACCACCTCCCTGGGCAGCCTGTTCCAATACTTCACAACCCTCTCTGTAAAGAAATTCTTCCTGATATCTAACCTAAATTTCCCTTGGCGCAACTTGAGGCTGTTCCCTCTTGTCCTGTCATTCATAATGTGGGAGAAGAGACAGACCCCCATCTCCCTACAACTTCCTTTCAGGTAATTGTAGAGAGCGATAAGGTCCCCCCTGAGCCTCCTCTTCTCCAGACTAAACAGTAGCAGCTCCCTCAGCTGCTTCTCATAGGACAAGTTCTCTAAACCCTTCACTAGTTTATCTGCATAAAATTTTCACAGTAGTAACAAATGTATAGTGGGATCCTTTCTGTAGTTCTGTGGCTGTGTGACCTGTCACACCCTAGACATCCAAGCACTGTGCGTGGTATAACATGATCACAGTAGTCAACCGAGTTCATTTTTATTTGTTGGAATGTGCAGGTTGGTATGACAATGTACAGCTGTGTTGTTGCAGATCAGAATTGCGCTCAAGGATTGGCCTGAAATCCAGAGATTTCAACAGGATCTGGTAGACTCCCAGCATTATGATGCCGCATACATCTTTAGGAGTCTGCGACTTGCCAGAGCGTTCCATTTCACAGCAATGCCAAAGCTAGTGAGTTACTACATTAATGATCTACCATTTTAAATAAAACATCTTTGGCTTTCAATGGCTGACTGTTCAACAGCACTTGTGTTTAGTTCAGCTTTGAGACTGTCTTGCTTTCTCTAGCTAGGTGTGTGACATAAAGCTTAGAGGATGTTTGAATGCAGCGTTCTACTCACCTGAAAATGTTTTTTCAGTATGTAATGTTCTTATTAGGTTTGAGATATCTTATAATTTGTGGAAATGTCAAACTCCTGAATCTGGGTGCTGGATTAAATTCTTGACTAGGGAATAACTTTTGAAAAGTGCTGACTCTGAGCACCTGACAGTAAAGCTGCGCGATGTTGTTGATGAGATGGTTTTATGCCTTTTGGCGTCTCTTGATGGTTGGGCGTGCAGTCAGAATTCTCAAGAAGAGGTGCCGTTTTAAGTTTGCTTTTGGGTTACAAAGCATTGTCTCTCGCTTTAGTTAAACTATCGAACTAAGAAGAAGATTCAGGAAAATGAATTTAAAGAAGAATTTAAGGACCCAAGTAACAGAGTAAACAGCCTCATCACTAACGATGTGTTGGAGGTAAGTAACTTTTAAACTATGGATTTATCACTGTTTTGTTTTTCTTCTTCTGTTGTCCAAGATCTGTAACTTACCTAATTAGCACAATCTTGTCCTTTGTAAGTCTTCTTCTGGAGTGCAGACTAGGGTAATAGTCTGTGCCAGCAATTTTACCAAACACTCAGAAACACGACATTTGTTTTGGAAGAACTGTGGTACCTTTTTCAGTACTGAAATATGCTCTAGTGTTTTGTGGTTTTGCCTCGGTAAGATGTAAAAGGGGAAGGCTATAAATGGGTAATTGTCATTTGGGCAGGGAGAAAAATGGCAAGTGAGGGGAAGAATGCTTGTTTTGATATGTCTGCAGGTTGCAGCTGGAGTCTTGATACTTGTGATAATATGAATTTACTTATCTGCAAGTTTATAGCCTTCTCTAGCCTTTATTTCCCCCTTTATAACTTGGTTTTGTTTAATGTATAATACGTTTTATTAAAGATGGAGTGGTTTGAACTGGGTATAGGTTCTTATATTGCTTATTATGACTCAGTGATAGATCTTTGTTTACAGTTTTTTCCAGGCTGGCAAATATGTGTCATCAGTAGAGTTGACTACAGTGGTACAAAAATCAGTAATCTGTGAAGTGGCAGGGTGAGAAGACCTGCTTCCTCAAAAGGAGGAAGTAAAATGCTTTCTCCAAAGAGTTGAAAACAGACCACCGTATCAGAATGAGACCTCTATGAACACTGATCCTGACTATCACTGAGACTGCTTCCATAGTTTAAATAATGCAAGATACTCTTTTTTTTCTATGGCTTGTTTGGTGGACTGGTGGGACAGTGCTAGGTAGCAGTATTGCTAGACTCCCTAAAATTGAACTGATCTAAACAGAATCTGTTTCTGACACTCCTCCTAGTTCCGTGTTCTCCTTAGAATGGTTTGTGTAACTCTGGTTTTGTTCATTGAGGATTAATATTGCTTTACTGCTGGAATCTCTTTTTTTTTTTTTCCTGAAAAGAGTATTTTTTTTTTTTTATTTTAGGAACTGATGAATATTCATGACCACTATCAGAAAATGAAGTGTGTCATTTCAGCTGACAAATCCCAGCCAGACAAGGCGCTGAGCTTGATAAAAGATGAATTTGTAGTTACTCTTAAAGACATAACTTTGGAACATCAGGAATGGCAGCAGAACAGAATGGTAGGTAATATCAGCCATTATGCTGAGGCAACTTAATGGATTGTGTGAACGTGTAAGAACTGTCTTAGTGTAATTACCTCTGAGCACACTTTGAAAAATCTCAGACTCAAGTAGAAGAAACTGTAACACTGAAGACACGGAATGAATAAAACCCTAGGCAGAGTGATGATGTAGGGGGAAGGACATGGATTTGTATGTGGCACTGCCTCTGTGATAACATGAATGATTGCTGAGAGGTAAACCCTGGAAGTTGTGACTTACGGACAGTATTAGAATGACCATATGAAACACCTCTGTGATACTTACTTATTCTTGGATCAAGGAAAGGCCAGAGTGTAAGTAAGTGTAAAATGGGTGTGTGCGTAAATATTTGTTTTGTTTTTCACAGTTCTTGGATTTTAGCTGTCTTGTACATGACAGACATTAAAAAAAATCTTTTTTTTTCCCAGAAATTATTCCTAAATGCTAAAGAAACTGATGAAATATCAAACAACAAGGAAGAAGAGACTTTGCTAGAATCAGAGGTAAGAAAAATGAGCTAGTTTGCTCTGTCATGCAGACCGAATCTGTTAGTTTTTTACTTCAGGTCACAGGCTAAGCAGCGTATGCCAAGGCTCGATAGTGTCACAGTAAGTTCCAGGAATAGCTAGTGGGGCTGGTAGGTTTTTCTTGATTGTTTGGTTGTTTTTTGTTTGTAAATCACATTGTTAAGCTGTGGGCATTCACTGCTGCGATAGCTCTTACATGTTTGTAATAAAATGTCTCTTTTGGGTAAGGAGGGGAAAGAGCTGTATTTTCTTGGCCAAACTCTCTTATGATTCCTCTTGGAGTTTCAACTAAATGCAATATCCGTGTTTTATGCTACAAAACTATCTCATGTTGTATTTATCTGCTTATTTCAACTCTGAATTGGAGTAAGGTGGGAAGTTTCCAATTTGATTTTTTTCCTCCTGGGCTTTGTAACAGTGAAGGCAACCAAAATTATGCTCTGCCTATTTAATGAAATTTGAACTTTTTGGTTTTTCTTTAAGTCACAGTTCGGCAGCATTCTATGAATATATAACTAATTACAGAATTACAGCTGTAGTGAGATGTTGCTCAAGTGATTGATGTGATACTTCATTTCAATACTGCTTTCACAGTACATGAAAACGTATTCTGGCTGATCTCTTGTTTCTTTGCAGGGTTCTGAAAGAGCAAGTGCATTGGCTAGAATCAAATACAGGTCTTACTCTGCAGTTGTTGAGGTAGGTATAAAGTTTGATGATAGGGATGTATTTATTTTGAAGAACGGTTTTGAGTACCAGTTTAATATAAATGCTGAGTCAGAAAGGAAGGAGTTAAAATTGCACTCTGTAATTCAACCTTTAAATGTTCTAGTTTTCCTAACGCACTGGGGAAACCCAAAGCTCTTAATATTCTTGTTAGGTTTATGGAAACAGTGCAGATATGGTCTAGGCTTGGGGGATTTTCATTTACAAGGTATCTTTTAATGTCCGTGCTCTATTTAAGTAGATGGAGTTTTAAGTAGATGGAATAAAAACGCTTGTGAGTTTAATAGCTTAAATTCTTTGAAGCTTGGATAGTAGAATCTCTGAAGCTGCTTGCAAAAATGGAACTTGGGGGTTTAAAGTAAGTTGGAAGTTCTTGGAAACGTTGTTTCAATAACTGCTGCTTTAAAAATACTGTTGATTTGTCTTTTTCATAGTGGGTCTGTGAGAAACATCACAACTTTCCTTGTTTATTAAAATCTCTTATTGGAAAATGCATTATGAAATGAAATAGAATTCTGGAATGTACAGTAGTCCAGTCCAGACTTGTGAGCATACAGTGGTAATGTTTTCTAGGCACCAAAGCAAAATATGACAGTAAGGAGGCTTCGTGGTGCAGCAGTTGTCGGAAGTGTTCCTTTTGCTTGCATACAGCTGTGTGCAACATGGCATAGGTTGCTACCAGCAGAGACTGGTTTGAAAGTAAATGGATGTTTCATTACTTGAAACTTCATAACACCCATTAAATCATAGAAGGGCGTTGTCCTGTTAAAACTGAAGAACAGTAACTAGTGAGAATCCTCCCTCCCTTCCTCCCCTTCCATCCCTTCTCCACCCTGAGATGGAAGTTTGATGCTTTGGTCCTTGCTGATTTATAAAGTACTGGGTGACACACAGTAATACCTGGCTGTAGAAGTTTAGCTTTTTTTCTGTGATTTGTGTGTATGTTTGCGTTCTAGGCTTCAAAATCCAGAAGACATCGTCAAGTAAGATTAGAATCTTCTGAATCAGGATCAAAGTTTGGGAAATCTCCAAGCCGAAGTAAAAAAAACAGTAGGAGACCACAGCCAAGGACAAGAGAGTCTTTGGATATCAAAGGTATTTCTCCATTGCATTCGTGAACCTGGTGAGACTGCAAAAGCTTATCCATTCCTTTTCTAGCTGAAGCAGCTGCGTTAAATTTTTCTATTGATCAGTGGAGGTAGAAGATTAAAAAAATGTTTAGTGACACCAATATCGTAATTGAACCTTTTTGTCTGTTTTCCACAGTCTGATCAGGTAGAAAGACAAAATGAGTGCATGCAGTTTATTATTAATCTGAAGTCTCATACGTAGCCCTGCTAATTTTTCTCCGGAAGGGCATGACCTTGGAAAAGCACATCCTGCGTGACATGTTTTAGTTTTTCCTATTGCCATATAACAGCCATATGGGAAATTAAGATATGTGTCTGTTTCTTCTTCTGACAGATAGTTTCTACTTTTGAAGCTAGCTTTCTGCTGAAAATCAGCCTATCTGATAGTTCATAGTATCTTCATGAAATCCAAAGTCAGCCTTGCCTGTTTTGTTTCTGTTCTGTTCCTGAGCTCTTGAAGGAATATCCTCTAGTATTTCTGAATTGAAATTATGATGATGCCTTAATGGCAATGATTGCTTTGTAAGACCAGTACCTGCACTATCGCATCAGTCATTCTTCTTCCATCTGATATTTGTTATTTCGTTCTTTTGTTACTGAAATTTTTAGTACTTCCATGTGAATACAAATCTTTTGTCAACAACTGATGTAGTTTCAAAACTCTTTTCAAGTTATTTCCTTAATCTCAGTACTGCAATTATTGCATTTTAACAGTTCTACATTTGTTTAGTTTGTAGCTAGACTTAACTTTTCCCTTCTTGACAGGAGGGGTTTTTACACACTTGTGACTTGTTTTTTGTGGTTCTGTTCTGTAATTCTGTTTTATTCCTCCTGAGCGTTACAATTTTAGCTAGGAATAAAAATCATTTTCAGGAGCAAACTTTTTTTTAAAACAGGTACAGAGTACTTAATGCCTAGTCTTTGGGACCTTTTTTCTTAGTTTGAAATGCACCCTGGAAGACAATACTTGTAACTGCTTGTACTTGATATCATCCTGGTTTATCCGTACTGAAATAAGAAGCGTTGAGATGTTCTTATATGCGCTCAGTGAAGGCCCTTGCTTAATGTAGTCAGAAAAAGACTTCAAAATTTTAGCAAGAAATATTATGGAATATTAAATGCAAATGCCTGTAAACTTCCTGTGAATGCTGTGGAGATGATAGAATTTTGTGGGTGACAAGAATGGCTGCCTACAGAGAGAATATAAATGCCTATAGAGAGAATAAGTACAAACGGAATGTGACGGAGCAAGCAAGGAAATGGTGAATGTTTTTAAAAGTAAGAAAATTGGACTGGGAACACCTTTCTGCTTCAGACTAGAAGTTTTTTCAAAAAAAATTGACTTACCTGATCCAAAGCTGCTAAGTTAATATCTTTGTCATTTTTCTTATTTGTGAAGTTTGTTGAAAGTACGATGCTGAGACCACCAACGTAAAGGATTAGCTGTTTGTATGGATTCTTATTGTATGGTGTCATCATTTATGTTAATATATTGTGAAAGAGATCAAGTCTCAGAACTTGAGGACTGACTCATTGTGACGTGAGATGAGACCCGGTGTGAGGGTACTTTGCTAGATCGAAAGAGGAGGTGAGGAAGGAGAGAGAGTTCAGCTCTCTATTTCAGGTCTCTGTTGGAGAGATCCAGTCTGGTGTTGCTGATCATTGACATATCTGAACTGACCAGTGATTGATTTAGTTATTTATTTTAGTGTCATAGCATTTATGTCATCTGGATTGGTGCAGTTTTACTTTCTAGGTATTTGCACATCCCTGCTTATGCATCTTTTTTTTGTTTTCCAAGACCTTCTTTAGATCTCTCTGTCTCCCAGTTCTGAAAACGTGGGAAATTACTTTTCTTAAGGAAATAATCTTTCCTATATCCAACTTTTATACTGATAGAAGTTGCTCTGCCATTTAGGTTTTTCATTTACTTGTTATTTATTAAAGGTTAAATGAAATTGAACAGCAAAATAGTTATGAACAAACTTTGCTTTTAAGACAGGGATTTCATTTCAGAGTTCCAAACTCTCTTTTCTGGCTTGCTTGGCTTCTGCTAGAAAAGAAGTTACTGAGAAAATTCATCCCTCTTCAGAGGTGACCATTAGGCAATGTTGCTTTTGCTTCACTTTAAAACAGTAGATGAAGTGTCAAAGAGGAATAAGGGCATTTTGAATTATCTCTGAACTGAGTTGGTAGGTAATATGCTTTAAACTCGTAGTGTTAACTACTTGTTGTTGAAGGTTTCCTTAGTGAACCATATGAAGGTGCTGTGAAAAACGTGGGTGTTTCTCTACAGCCTTTGACTAGAAAGGCAAGAGAGCAGCAAGTGAACAATCTTTTAACTGCTGGACCTGAGATGTAGAGGAAAAAAATAAGCTGACAGTTTTTCCTAAAAATCTATGTGCAGGTAACATGCAAGTGGCAAAGGGAACTGTTACTCACCATATTGGGATGCCTGTAATCACAGAAGAGGAGACCTCAGATGAAGAAGGTACAATGATTGAAATTCTAACAAACTGGTGACTCTATTATGCTGTATTTTTCTGAAACCAAAGCTGATATTTTGGACCATGTGTTGCTGCCTTGCAAAAGCTAGATTAGTTTTCAGACTGTAAATTGTTGCATGAGAATTGAAACTTTGATTTGAGACTTTGTTACGAGCTCATACCTGGTGACAAAATCCTGTGAGTCATGTTTTTCTACTCAGATGTCATTATAATGTGTTCAGAGTTAAAACTGGTACAGTTAAAAGAAGCCTCCCTCTTCTATAATACCCATCTGACTTGAAGAGTTCCAATGTGTAG